CTATCATCATCTCTTTCTCTTTTACCTTACTGTTTTGATGGTTAGGGGTGGGGGAACATGAGTATGTGTATACAGTGGTGAAAGGGGCAAAACTAACATTTGTTTGTGCCTACTATGTTGTGTGCCTACAGACACTACACATGTATTATTAGACTTACTAGAGGCCTGGTGCACGAATTTGTGCACCAGTGGGGTCCCTCAGCCTGGCCTGTGGGATTGGGCTGAAGCTGGCTCTCCATTTCCCCAGGAGTCCCGGATTGCAAGAGGGTGCAGGCCAGGCAGAGGGACCCCACCAGTGCACGATCAGGGCTGGGGAGGAACGCGGGAAGTTGGCCAGCAGGGAGGGGCCATGGGAGGGCTCCAGGACATGCCTGGCCCGTCTTGGTCAGTCCCAATCGGCCGGACCTCAGCAGCAAGCTAACCTACCAGTCAGAGCATCTGCCCTCTGATGGTCAGTACACATCATAGTGACTAGACAACCAGTCGACTGCCCCCCCTGGTGGTCAGTGCACGTCATAGCGAGCGGTTGAGCAACCTTAGCATATCATTAGCATATTACGTTTTGATTGGTTGAATGGACGAAGGGACAACCGGACACTTAGCATATTAGGCTTTTATTATATAGGATTCCTCACAACTAATCTACTTGCAGATGAAGTTCAACTGACCGGCTAGAGGTCACTTGGTTTTCATTCCAGGACTACCTAAGTGCCCCTTCTAAACACTACATTGCCTTAGTTTTCCTGGTTGTGTAAAAAATTTTAATTGCTCATTAGCATAATTTTCAAGTTTTCTTCTTTCCATTATTCCATCCAATGATTGTTGTTTCTCACATGAGATTAGCCTTCACACCCTGATCCATCGCTTAGAAGCTAAGGGAAACACACTCCTCCCAGTGCCTAACATTCTCACACCTGGGAGGTTTTTGACAATTTTCTTATTTATACAATTTAAAAACCCAATTTTTGATTTTTAATGGTGAACTTAGATAAATTGTTGAATATTTAAATTATTTAAATGATTATTTTGATATATCCTTGTACTAGCAACATATCTTAACTTTTCTCACCACAGTACTCTAATAGCACAGGGGAATAAATACATGCCAAGCAGTCAAAATACATGAGAGATTTCATTCAAGTCTTGCATTTTATCTTAGTGATTTATAAATTGTACATTTTATTCCACTTAATAGCCTTGATTTTAGCCACCCTCCCCCCTTTAGATTCTAAACATTAACAATCTGGAGAATATCGCATGTTTATTTTACAGTGTCTCAGATAGCACTTGTACTCCTGGTGGTATGAGATTCTATTCTCTGAGAAAAATGGTAAAATGGTCTTTAGCACAGTACTATGAAATGGTAAAATGTGGATAATAAAGCTTTATATCGATATACTACATTTCAATAATTGACAGATTTTTAAAGTAATTATTGTGTTCCAATATTATAAAAGTGAAAAAACCGGGCCTCTAGTACTAGATTAAATGATCTGAGTTACTAGGTCTGGACCTCTGAGTAACTGGCTGGTTCTGCCTCTTGCAGTAAGATTGGAAGTAACTTAGAAGTTTCTCTCTACAGAACTTCTAAATAGTGCTTGTTAATATCCAGATGTCCAGACCACATATATTTTTAATTTTCAGGTGAAAAGTTCAATTTCAGAGAGTCTAGTTGGAATTTGATGATATTATACCAAGTCCAAGTAGAAATCCCAGTTTTCTCATAATTACTAGAAGTGCTGACTTATACTTATATGAATCTGCCTGCTACTTAATGGGACAATGGGAAAACTTTTCCTTTCAATGGTAGATACAATCTTTCAAAATGAGGTTCACAGGTGAAAATTTTAAAAATAGCAGTTAGTATAAAATACTGGAAACTACTGCTCATAGATCATTAAAAATAAGAGGATAAAACCATAAAAGTTATAAAAAACATAAATCCAGTCAAGCTTCAACCCCTACATTTTCTACAAAGTCTTGAATAATGTGACCTACTCACCATGCACTCACTTCACCCCAGATGTGCTGGCTTCTGTTCTGCTTCCTCCAGAACTCCTTCCCACTACGAGGCCTTTATACCTGCTGTTCTCTCCCCTAGGATGTTCTTAATTCCTTGTCTGTCTGGAACTTTCAATTAATCCTTCAGTTCTCAGCTTAAAAGCGACTTCCTGAGGAGAGCTTTGCTCTTTATCAATTTTCCACTCCCCACTCTGCTCTGGCCTCTTATCTGTTGACTGTATCCTTCATTGTACTTACTGGACTTAACTGTACATTGTTTCATAACTACAATTAAGTAACCTTGTGTTTGATATCTTTTTTCCAACTCTATACAGAAAACCCTATGAAAGTATGATTGTATCTGTATTATTTGCTGCTATTTCCTCAATGTCAAGCATATACCAGGAAATAAGACATTAAAAGAAATATAATTTTGCACTGTGCTCTTGCACAAAGTAATGAAAATTAATCTATCTCACACAAAATCAGGATTCTATCACACATTTGTGAGAGTTTAACAATTGAAGAAGCTGTTGAAGCAAGATTTTTCATAATCTTCATTTCCAAATGCTCTAAATCTTTAACTAGGTTGCTAAGCTGGGGACATGGAGTGATGTTCCTTGAAAATATTCATGGAATTCAGTGTGGCAGCTAAGTTTCCTGGATGGAAATAAAATAAGGCTCTCAACCAAAGCCAACCAGCCTTCAAATGAATGAGTCATAAGAAATTATGACTAAAAGGCCACCCAAGAAGAGTATGTAATAAGAAATTCAACCTATGTTCATTTGAATTTTGACAATTCACTCAACTTCAAATAAAACAAATGCTTGATGAATGGGACAAAGATATGTTTTTTTTTTTAAAGGTAAAAACTCAGGAGAGATCTCTGAGATAAGGATTTCCCAAGATGATTATGAATTTTGAAAGTATTATTATAAAAACTTCCAGATTTTGAGGACCAATTTTTAAAAAACTTTGGAAGTTATAAAATAAAGTCATAGCTATTTGGAATTTGTCAATTCTTAAGAAACTTTAATGCAGGACACCTATGGATCAAGAAGCTCTATAATTTAAATATCTGATGTAAGAACATTTTTTTAAAGAGAGAATACTTATTTTCCAAAAACCTTCAATTCAATAAATAACAAAGAGAGAAGGGGAACATATGAAGCAAAATAAATAATTAAATCTGATATTAAGACCAAGGAACTTAAGAATAAGAAGTAAACTGCTTACTTTCTATCCTCTCATATCAGCCCAAGATTCTTAGGAAATAAAGCTGAAAAGATGGAAATCTATCATCATCTCTTTCTCTTTTACCTTACTGTTTTGATGGTTAGGGGTGGGGGAACATGAGTATGTGTATACAGTGGTGAAAGGGGCAAAACTAACATTTGTTTGTGCCTACTATGTTGTGTGCCTACAGACACTACACATGTATTATTAGACTTACTAGAGGCCTGGTGCACGAATTTGTGCACCAGTGGGGTCCCTCAGCCTGGCCTGTGGGATTGGGCTGAAGCTGGCTCTCCATTTCCCCAGGAGTCCCGGATTGCAAGAGGGTGCAGGCCAGGCAGAGGGACCCCACCAGTGCACGATCAGGGCTGGGGAGGAACGCGGGAAGTTGGCCAGCAGGGAGGGGCCATGGGAGGGCTCCAGGACATGCCTGGCCCGTCTTGGTCAGTCCCAATCGGCCGGACCTCAGCAGCAAGCTAACCTACCAGTCAGAGCATCTGCCCTCTGATGGTCAGTACACATCATAGTGACTAGACAACCAGTCGACTGCCCCCCCTGGTGGTCAGTGCACGTCATAGCGAGCGGTTGAGCAACTTTAGCATATCATTAGCATATTACGTTTTGATTGGTTGAATGGACGAAGGGACAACCGGACACTTAGCATATTAGGCTTTTATTATATAGGATTCCTCACAACTAATCTACTTGCAGATGAAGTTCAACTGACCGGCTAGAGGTCACTTGGTTTTCATTCCAGGACTACCTAAGTGCCCCTTCTAAACACTACATTGCCTTAGTTTTCCTGGTTGTGTAAAAAATTTTAATTGCTCATTAGCATAATTTTCAAGTTTTCTTCTTTCCATTATTCCATCCAATGATTGTTGTTTCTCACATGAGATTAGCCTTCACACCCTGATCCATCGCTTAGAAGCTAAGGGAAACACACTCCTCCCAGTGCCTAACATTCTCACACCTGGGAGGTTTTTGACAATTTTCTTATTTATACAATTTAAAAACCCAATTTTTGATTTTTAATGGTGAACTTAGATAAATTGTTGAATATTTAAATTATTTAAATGATTATTTTGATATATCCTTGTACTAGCAACATATCTTAACTTTTCTCACCACAGTACTCTAATAGCACAGGGGAATAAATACATGCCAAGCAGTCAAAATACATGAGAGATTTCATTCAAGTCTTGCATTTTATCTTAGTGATTTATAAATTGTACATTTTATTCCACTTAATAGCCTTGATTTTAGCCACCCTCCCCCCTTTAGATTCTAAACATTAACAATCTGGAGAATATCGCATGTTTATTTTACAGTGTCTCAGATAGCACTTGTACTCCTGGTGGTATGAGATTCTATTCTCTGAGAAAAATGGTAAAATGGTCTTTAGCACAGTACTATGAAATGGTAAAATGTGGATAATAAAGCTTTATATCGATATACTACATTTCAATAATTGACAGATTTTTAAAGTAATTATTGTGTTCCAATATTATAAAAGTGAAAAAATCAGTTTTTCCTCTACTAAAGAAAGGAAAGTATATGGGCTTTATATAAAAGTTAATATATTTAAATTATTGGAATCTAATACTGATCTAATCTTACTTGTAAAATTTATGTAAGTGTTCTTAACTGTTCAGTCCATCTACCCTATCCTAAGCTTATGGAACAGGTATTTAAAGAAAAAATTCATTTTTGGTTTTAGGAAATATAAAATGCAGGAGCCATGGTATAAAGTGAAAATTACCTTGTTTATCTATAACTGAGTATGAAGCCAAAAATCCTCGTCCAGAAACATGGATTCCGCTCATGAACAGCACTGTAATTTCATTGCTTTTTGATTCAATTGAATGGTTCATCTGCAATCCCAGACCACAGTATTTGCCTAGGAATGAAGAAAAGCAGATCTTTGTTGTGACTCTTATGAAGTCAATAATATTTACCATGTAGATAATAGAATCAGAATAATATACCAAACTCTGCATGTTAAATAGTGTAAAATGATAAGTAGGATGTTTAGTGATTAAAAATCCCATTACTCTGGAGGGAAAAAGAAAAAAAATCAAGTAATAACTTCAAATGATGCAAAAGAAAAAAACCGTACAAGCATTACTGACCTTTTGAAGAGTCAATTTCCTGTGAAATACATGTGTATACTCTTTAAAAGAATAACCAGGAATTTTTAAAAAAAATTGCAGGCAGGCAGGTGGCCCACAGATAAATTGACAATCAGTAACCCCACAGGGTGCGCCAAGGTTCCTGGCCTCAGGACAACACCTCTCAAACCTTTTATGAACCTTCTCAATTTTTCCGCCCAGGCCTGTTGAACTTCTGGTCAACTTAGGTGATAATTTATATTAAAATAAGAAAACTCAATTCAGTCTATAACTTTTCAATTTATTTAGCATTTAATAAGTTAATACCAAACATCAAGGTAAACATGCACTTTTCTTAGATGCTATTGTTTTCAATATAAAATATGTCTTGCTCATCTGTACAAAAAAAAAACACAAAAAACACATACCACCTTCTATTTCTAAATATGGAATGTAATTTTAGCTATCAATGTTTTTAACATTTAAGCAAAATAACACATTATCGAATAACACTACAAGTTATATGAATATATAAGATGATAAAATCTTCAGACTTGTTTTTTAATACCAAGTAACTCAGAAATAGTCTAGTAAAGAGGATAAATATTAAATATTGTATTGCTTTTGAACATAAAATATTTAAACATAGAGTAATATATATTTCACATTATTCTAATTATCTCAAAGCTATATAATTTGTTAGCAAACCCAACTGTGTATGTGCAGAACCAGTGCCCATCACATTAAATCTTAAAGCCCAATGGGAATAGTTAAGGCAAGAGAAATTATGGTCACTAGTATCTTTACACAAGATTAATTTTTGTAAAAGTGAACAGCAGTTTGATCTGGGCCCATCAGTACTAGCTGTTCTTTGCCATGTAAGGATATATGTAGGTGTGATTTTATTACAAGCCTGATTAAGATGCTCAGTACAAATACGGACTTTTCAGATCCTTTCAGGTACAAAGGAAAAAGATCCTATTTAAAGAATACCTAACATGCCATACAATGATGTCTTCATAAAAAGTATATTATTAAAGTGAAACAATGTGCAAAAAATAGTTTTAACCCTTTTTATATGGACAGAACCCCAAAAATATTTTTTATTAGCATGGAAGTTTCATCTTTTGTTTATTTGTTTATCTGGACTTATCTTGTCCTCTAAAATGTGAGTAAATTTAATCTGTGGTAGAAACAAAACATTTTTTAAAAATCACTTATGTTCTGTGAAACTCAAAAGGCAATGCTGAAGAATGGATAACCACAATTTAAAAAACAGAAGGAAGAAAAAAGAAAAGTACAATAGCTGACCTTATAAGTGCTTAAATGAGTTCAAATATACAAGAAAAACGCCTGCCTTCACCTGCTATTCCCAGCCAAGATGACCCTCCTTCTCCTCACTTGGCTCTCCTTTGACCACCGGCTTTACCCGCTGTACAAATAATGCAAAGAACTTGGCAAAGCACTCTGGGAAAGGAAGAAGAAAAACCATTCCTAATCTGGGCAACATAGTTGTTAATTCTTTAATGCCATTTCCCCAGTTTGGCCATTCAAAGGTACTCCTAAATCAAAATAAAGCATTTAATTGCCAACAATTATAAGTTCTGCTGATGGCTCTTAAAGTCAGCAGAAATCACTATAGTTTCTCATGATTAAATAAGAAAGGTATTTGAAAAAATATTTTGTGAATATATAGAGGACATTAAAATATAAAAGTTAAAATTATTAATCACCATAACACCCATGAAACACTTGTTTTAAATATAAAAGAACCCATGTTCCAGGAAAATAAAAATGCTTAAAAGTTATGAGCCTTTAGGAAACTAGGAAAAGAAACCGAAAGCAGGTTATTTGAAAAAACAAAACAAAAAAACAACAACAACAAAGAAAACAACCTAATGAGACTCTAGTAAGCCTAAATAAGAAAAAAAGAAGACACAAATCACTAATATCCGAAATGAAGGTGGGGACAGATCCTTACAGATCCCATAGACATCAAAAGGATAATAAAGAAATACTATGAAAAACTCTACATCCAAAAATTGGATAACCTTGATAAAATGGGCAGGTTCCTTGAAATACACAATTTGCCAAAACTCAAACAAAAAGAAACAAATTATCTGAATAGGCCTATATCTAGGATATTAAATCAATAATTAATAATACTTCAAAAGAAAAAGCACCTGGCACAAATGGGTTCACTGGTAAATTTCACCAAACATTTAAGGAGAAAATTATACCAATTCTCTATAATCTCTTTCAAAGGATAGAAGCAGAGGGGATATTTCCTAACTTATCCTATGAGACCAGCATCACCCTAAAACCAAACTCAAAGACATTACAAGAAAACTACAGACCAATGTTTCTCATAAAAATGGGTGCAAAAATACTTAATAAAGTATTAGCAAATCAAATCCACAGTGTACTAAGTATACCGGTTAATAATGCGGATTTTTTTCAATAGATGGAGTTACACATATGTTGATATATATGCGATTTGATATGTATGTTATTTTGTTGTATTGACGGCAAGCTTCAAAAGTTCATGTCAAATTTGCTGAAGGTGTTAACATCATAGATATTTTTACGTTTAAAAATGTCGAATTTCGTGCCCAAAAAAAGAGCCTTTGCATGAAGTTTTAATTCATTACTTTATTTTGAAGAAAAGTGCTGCTGGAAGTTACTGTATACTTCGGGAAGCTTATGGTGAACATGCTCCATCTCAAGATACTTGTGAACCTTGTGAACGCTGGTTTAAACACGTTAAAAGTGATGATTTCGATGTGAAAGACAAAGAACGTCCAGGTCAACCAAAAAAGTTTGAAGACCAACAATTGCAAGCATTACGGGATGAAGATGCGTGTCAAACTAAAAAACAACTTGCAGAAAGATTAAACGTTTCTCAGCAAACAATTTCCGATCATTTACAAGCAATGGGAAAGATTTTAAAGGAAGGAAAATGGGTGCCACATCAACTGAATGAAAGACAAATGGAAAACCAAAAAGTCATCAGTAAAATGTTGCTTCAACAGCACGAAAGAAAGTCTTTTTTGCATCGAATTGTGACTGGCGATGAAAAGTGGATTTATCTTGAGAATCCCAAATGCACAAAACCATGGGTTGATCCAGGTCAACCATCAACATCGACTGCAAGGCCAAATCGCTTAGGAAAGAAGACAATGCTCTGCATTTGGTGCGATCAGGAAGGCAGGAAGGTGTGGTGTATTATGAGCTTCTAAAACCAGGTGAAACCGTTAATACTGATCAGTGCCAACAACAAATAATCAATTTGAACCACGCTTTGATCGTAAAACGACCAGAATGGGCCAGAAGACACAGCAAAGTAATTTTGCTTCATGATAATGCACTATCACCCACTTCAAAACCAGTTAAAGACCCATTAAAAGATCTTGCCTGGGAAGTATTAACCCACCTGCTATATTCACCAGACCTTGCTCCTTCAGATTACCACTTGTTCCAATCAATGGCACACGCACTTTCTGAGCAGCACTTCAAAATGTATGAAGGAGTGGAAAATTGTGTCTCTGAATGGTTTGCCTCAAAACAAGAAAAGTTCTACTGGACGGTATACACAAATTACCTGAAAGATGGAGGAATTGTGTAGCTAACGATGGACATTACTTTGAAAAAAGCACTTTTGATGTTTCTCTTGAAATTATTGTGTTTTCTTTGATTACAAAATCCGCATTATTAACCGGTACAACATTCCACAATGATGTCATTATACATTTGTTCAAATCCATGGAATGTGCAACAACAACAACAAATTCAGCCATTAGGAAATGCAAATCAAATTCATAATGATATTCCACTTTACAGCCACTAGGATGGCTAGAATAAAAAAGACAGATAGCAAGGATATTGAAAAATTGGAACCCTCATACAATGCTTGTGGGATTGTAAAATGGTGCAATCGCTTTTGAGAACAGCCTGGTAGTTCTTCAAAGGGTTAAACATATAATTAGAGTTATCATATGATCCAGTAATTCTACTCCTAGGCATCTATACTAATAAAAGGGTAATATGCTACTTAGACCAGGAGACCTTCCAGACATCCTTCCAGACAAAGCCATGGTGGCAGGGCCGAAGCAGAGACAGTTAGGGGCGATCAAGCCGGCAGGGGAGGGCAGTTGGGGGTGATCAGGCTGGCAGGGGAAGGCAGCTGGAGGCGAGCAGGCCGGCAGGAGGGGGAAGTTGGGGGCGATCAGGACAGAATGCAGAGTGGTTAGGGGCAATCAGGCAGGCAGGCAGGCAGGTTAGCAGTTAGGAGCCAGCAGTCCCGGATTGTGAAAGGGATGTTCGACTGCCGGTTTAGACCTGATCCCTGCAGGAACCGAGGGGTCCCTGATTGGAGAGGGCACAGGCCGGGCTGAGGGACACCTGCCCCTATGCACGAATTTTGTGCACCAGGCCACTAGTACTAGTATATCCAAGAGAAATGTAAACATATGTCCACACAGAGTTGGACCTGATATCTCACAGCAGCATTATTCATAATAGCTGAAATTTACAAACAACCTAACCAGCATCCTGCAGTTCCTAGGATAAACTGGCATGGAAGGGTGGTGATAAATCTCAAAGAATAATGCAATCTTTTACAAACAGGAGGAGCCATAAACTATCACTCCAGGAGGACGCTAAGAACGAAAAGCAGTCCCTGGCCCAGTTTTACAACTGCAAGGAAGTGAAATCTGCCAACCACCAGTGAGTTTGGAAGAGAATCCTCATCCCCAGCTGGTATCTTGATTTCAGCCAGGCAAGACCCTAA